GAGATTTGCTTTCTTGCTTTCTTTTTCTCTATGTCTCGCTCTAGTCAAATTAAAATAATAATAATAATAATAATAATAAAGGAAATAATTCTTTTTAAAAATACCATATAAAATTACCCAAAAGCTATGTGTATAAGGTATATATGAAACATGAATGAATTTCATATTTAGACTTGGGTCCCGTCCTCAAGATATCTCATTATACATATGCAAATAAAAATCTGGGAAAAAAATCCCAAATTGAAAATACTTTCAGCTTCAAGTATGTTTCATGAGGGACACTCAGCTCGCGTGTTTCAATTCCCTTTTCTAAGTCTGTTGCTAATCTATAAAAGAGATAGAGGGGTTAGCGGGTGGCGTGGTGGTTGAGGCACTGGACTCCCACATGGCCGACCAGCATTTGATTCCTGGACTTAGTGGCTTGCTTTCTGTTTCCCTCTCTGTCGCTGTCTCTGGTGAGCACCTGTGCCCTACAGCAAACTTAAGAGAATAATAATAGTAACCATCAATAAAATAAAATAATTTTTAAAAGCATAATCTAAGAGGGTAAGTTTCATAGCCAAGTATTTGCTGGTGTCTAGAAAACAATTTTTTTTTTAGTTTGTTTGTTTTTTTGAGAGTTTTTTTTGTTATAGGGTGCGTGTCCTCGTCAGAAAGACAGAGAGACAAAGAGACAGAAAGCAAGAACTCACTCCCCAGTGGGGATGGCCACACCGCAATCCCTTCTCCTCCACTGTCCTCTCGGGAGAGAGGACCTGGTGTGAGTTTAAGCCACTGGGTCCTAGACTTGAACCACAGTTGACTATGTGGGAGTCCAGTGACATAACCATTACGCCAACTGCTGGTCCCCAGAACAAGTGTTTAAGGAAAGAGAAAAAAAGTGGTTGTAATCGTAGCAAAGGGGGGGGTTATCCAGGAGATGCCAAATTTGAAGTGTTTCTTTTCTTTTTTTTTTTGGGGGGGGAGAGATTTATTGCTATAGGGTACATGCAGTCACCAGAAAGACAGACAGAGAGACAGAAAGCAAGAAATTCTCCCCCCTACCGGGGCGGGGGGTGGGATGACCACACCATAATCCCTTCTCCTCCATTCTCCTCTTGGGATCTTGGGCACGCACGCACATGCGCTTGGCGTGAGTTTTAAGCTACTGGATCCGGAATGCGAACTGCGATTGACTACATGGGAGTCCAGCGACATAGCCATTACACCATCTGCTGATGTTTCTTTTTATACTGTCTGGGTATAGAGGGCTTAAAAGAAGATCAATAAATCTTCTATTTACTTTTTCTTTTTAAGTGCCAAAGGGAGTGTGCACTTCCCAGGGAGAGAGAGAACCCTCCCACAGGGTGTGGTCACCCTGCAATCCTTTCCCCTTCACCCCCATCCCAGCAGGATTTGGGGCACACACACGCCTGTCACTAATGTGCTTTTCAAGCTACCAGGGCCAGGATTCAAACTGCAGTCGGTCACGTGGAATCTGACTCACAATGTAATGTGCTTAACTCTGCACTGTGGGACTGGCCTGATGTATCTTCTACTTTAATAGTGAAGGAACTTGGGACCAGCAGGTGGTGTGATGGTTAAAGGGCCAGATCCCACATGACCAGCTACACAGTTCATGTCCTAAACTCAGCAACTTAAAAATCATGCCAAGCACATGTGTGTGTGTGTGTGCCCAAAATCCCAAGAGGAAAATGGAAGTAAAGGGATTGTGGCATAGCTATCCCACCTGGAGGGTGGCTTCTCACTTTCCTTCGCTCTGTTTCTGAAAGATTTTTTATACTTATGGGAGAATTTTTCAAGAAAAACTGGGAGGGACCAACAGATGACATAATGGTTACATTGCTGGACTCCCACGTAGTTGACTAGGGTTTGAGTCCCAGACCCAGTGGCTTAAAACTCATGCCAGGAGCATGTATGTGCGTGCCCAAGATCCTGAGAGGACAATAGAGAAGGCGTGGCCATCCCCCTGGGGGGTGATTTCTCGCTTTCTGTCTCTGTCTCTCTCTGTCTTTCTGGGGAGCACACCTGCCCTATAGCAAAAACCTCTCCAAAATAAATAAATAAACAAACAAACAAATAAAGACATGGAAGATACAATACAAATGACATGATTAAACCTAGCCATCATGTATAACGAGCTTTGTAACGTGCTTATGCTCCATCTAGAAGTGGACTTTTCAGTCTGGGATATGAAATACAAGAGACTGCCTGAGACAAGATCTGCAGGAGAGGAGTAGACAGTGGGGTTGGGGTGGGGGTGGGATGTGAGGGTAACACAGACCAAGAGTTCCAGAATGCTGGGGTCTTGTAGTTTCCAGACATACTTGTACATTCCAGGCCAGCTCTCTAGTTATTCTCTTTATATATTTTTTAAAGAATTACTTATTTTCATTTATTCATTAATTTATTTTAATTTGACTAGAAAGAGACAGAGAAAGAGGACTTGAACCATGGTCAGCCATGTGGGAATGTCCAGCACCCTAACCACCACGCCACCTGTTGGTCCCCTCTTTATATTTTTAATCGTAAAGGTACCCAGGAGAAATAACTATTTTTCATATATAGGTTTTCTTTGCTTAGGAAAGAAGGCTTCTAGGGGCCAGCCAGGGGTATGGTGATGAACAGGCTGAATCCCACATGGCCAACTGCACCATTCTGAGTCCAGGATGGTAGCCTGAAAAACATACTGGGTGTACCAGGTATGTGCATGCATGTCCAAAATTCTGAGAGGAGACTAGAGAAGGGCTGGGGTGCTTCCTCGCTTTCTCCCTCTCTCTGTGTCACTCTGTCTCTCTCCGGTGAGTGCATCTGCCCTATTGAAAACTTAAAAAGAAAAAGAAAGAAGTCTTCTATATAGCTGATTGAGCTCAGTAACTTCCGATGTTTCCCAGTCTTACCTGTACTTCAAATTGCCGTTCTTTTTTGACATTAACTAGCTGTTTTTGAAGAGATTTTATCTGTTTTCTTCCTTTTTCCTCCCTAGAAGAAACATGAAGGCTTCTGTTTACAGCAGTGCTTCTCAAACCGTAAGGGTGCACAAGGGTCAACTGGACATTAAAAACACTCCTGGGCTCCCCCCACCCCCCGTGATTCTGTCAGCGGGTCCAGGACAGGCCCCTGAAATGTGCAGCTCTAACAAGTTTCCAGGTCATGCCATGGTGCTAGCCACTGAGTGCACCTTTTTTTTTTTTTTTCATTTTTCTTTATTTTTAAGTTTTGCTATACAGTACCCGTGCTCACTGGAGAGTCAGAGAAAGAGAGGGAAAAAACAAGAGAGGAAATGAGAAATCAGCCTTCAGGAGGATGGCCACGCCGCAATCCCTTCTCTTCCATTCTCCTCTCAGGATTTAGGGCACACACATGAGCCTGGTGTGTTTTTCAAGCTGCAGGGTACAGGACTTGAACCATGCTGTTAGCCAGGTAGGATCCAGCTGCCTTAACCACCATGCCACCTGGCTGGCCTCCACTGAGCACGTTTAAAAAAAAAATATTTAGACTTTTGCCACTGGGCAGTGCACTTGCCAGAGAGACAGAGACACCCCCAAGGGGATGGCCACACTACCATCCCTTCTCCACTGTCTCCCTGGGATTTGGAGAACACACACGCAAACACAACCATCAATCAGGTCCAGGACTCAAAATGCAGTCAGCCAAGTGGGAGTCCAGTGCCTTAACCCCATGCTGCCTGCTAGCCCCTGAGCACACTTTTAGTAATGCTTTTTAAAAAATGTACATTTAATCACTGTACTTTTTAAAAATAACTATTTGATTTATTCATTGATTTTATTTTTAATTTGACCAGAGAGAGACACAGATAGAGAAAGAGGGAAAGTGAGAAGCAAGCCACCAGGTCTGGGACTCAAGCCGTGGTCGACCATGTGGGCGTGTCCAGCACCTTAACCACCACGCCACCTGCTGGTTCCAATCACTGTACATCTTACAGTGTACATGGTTTTTCTCAGCAAGAATACAGTGCATATTAGTCAAGTCAAAGACATTTCCACATACATTATCATCTAAAGATAATTTTTCATTTTTATTAAATGTTCTGTTTGTTTTTTCTCTGATCACCTCCCTCTCACCTAGGTCACCCACTCCCTCCTATTAGTAACACTTTTTTAAAAATTATTCTATTTATCATCATTTTTTTAAAAAAATTTGACCATAGAGAGAGGGAGAGAAAGAAAGTGAGAAAACAAACGACCAGGTCCGGAACTTGAACCACAGTCCACCATACAAGAGTCTAGTGCCTTAACCACCATGTCACCTGCCAGCCCCTAGTAACACTTTTTAGAATACCGCTTGGGGGCTAGCCCCATACAGTACTGTGTTTGGGAACCAGATTCCACATGGCCAACTGTGGTACGAATCCTGGACCTGGCAGTTTAGTAAACACTGGGGCACTCATGTGTGTGCCCCAAATCCAGACAGGATGCAGAAGTGAAAGGAAGAGATTATGGTTTGATCGCACCCGATTAGGAGATGCGTTCTCTCCCTCTTTTTCTCTCCCTCTTTTTCTCTCCCTCTCTCTCTGGCAAGCACATTCTCTGTCAGTTAAATAAATAAATGAACAATAAAGGACTGTGATTTGTTTTAGTAAACTAAAGGTTTTCTGGCTTATCAGTGAGTATTGTCTTTAAAATAGCTGCTAAGAAAAAGTGTGTGGGGGTGAGGAGGAATAGGAAGAGGAAAAAGGATTCTTTCTATTCCGAACACTTTAATGACCTCTACTTACCTCACAATAACCTTATTCTCCTATCCTAAAAGCCTTATTAACCTTATTGTCAGTACTGCTAGCTTACAGATGAGAAAACATGGCTTAGAGCCAACGTAAGGTGCTGCCATGGGCCTGAGAACTTGTGTAACAGACCTCCATCTGCGGGGAGCGGAAGCAAACTAGGGCCCCTGCTTCTAGGCTCGGAAGTCCTTCACTGTGTAGAATCCAGGGCCACGCCTGCCACTGGCTATTCCCAGCCGATTACTGAGTGAGGGAGTGAGACCAGGGCAGGCTCTTCCTGGTGGAGCCAGTTCTACTGCAGTAGACTTAGGCTCCGAGGACTCCCTCATGACCTTGTGAAGCCATCCCTGGAGCACACAGCCGTGATGCCCACCAATCTTCCCTCTCCTTCACTTGGTCCTAAAGGATTTTGATTGTATTGACTACTAAAGCACAAAAATCTTTTTTTTTTTTTTTTTAAGAGAGATTTTTGCTGTAGGGCACATGTGCTTGCCGGAGAGACAGACAGAAAGCAAGAAATCACCCCTCAGGGCAGATGGCCACACCACAGTCCCTTCTCCATTCTCACGATTTTAGGCATGCATGCACATGCACCCACTGGAACCAGGACTTGAACTGCAGTCGACTATGTGGAACTCCAACAATGTAACCATTATGCCATCTGCTGATCCCAAAGCATGAAAATCTTTGGAATAAGCAGAAAGGTTGTGGACAAGAAAATGTACCTAGGCATGCATTTGTTATTGTTTGAGGACTTCCAATGAACGGTCCTAAGAATGATGACTGTAGGGAACCAGCAGTTAGTGTAATGGCTATGTAGCTGGTCTCCCACATCGTCGACCGCGGTTCGTGTCCCGGACCCGGTGGCTTAAAACTCACGCCGGGTGC